CACACCTAGACAGGAGGACGATTAGGGTCCTCAACCAAAGCCTTTGGCTCAAAAGCCTAACCGCAAGGCAGCGGTGTTTGGCGAGAAATGCAAATGCACTACCATTTCTACGGAACAAGTCGCCACATGTTCCAACCCCCAACCTGGAGGGCCAGGACATAGTCCAAACGAAATGTGTGATAACGATGACGTAGGTGCATAGTTGAGTGTGGATTTACAACACAGGAAGAATGGATTGCAAGCCAATGGGCGGTATCTCAATAGTGGTGTATTCCAGAAACGCCAGGAGCCCCAATAGGGCCTGACGCCCCACCTAAGCATATTATAAATACTGAATGCAGTGGTAAGATGACCTGAAAAAAATCATTCAGCTGCAACGCCACCTGAAGGAAGCACGAGGGCTGGGATACTGCCAGGTTGCCCAAGCCTAGACAGGGGAAGTCGAGATGCAGAGGTCGGGTTCGAACCACGGGTCTTCCGGTCTGTAAATTCGCGCTTCAACCGCTTGAACCATCTCCCCCCCCCCCCGATGACCTGAAAATACAACCATATACGTACAGTATACGTAATGGTCGTCCTCCGTGCATAGGAACATGCTAATGAGAGCGAATCATCAGTCACCAGAGGTGGCCTTCAAGGGGGGATTGAAGGACCGGGCATATGATGGAGTGACCTTTGTACGGGGGATCCCAGAGGGGAAATAGTTGTGGCTGAAAACACTCAGAAACATAGCTAAACTGCATAATCAGTGGCACCCTAGAACAAAATTACGGTATTCTCGCTATCGAAAGAACCACGCCCCCTATGAGGACTTTCTGTCCATTATGATAGCGTGCGACCGTCCACAGTACAATTACCGGTCTAATAAGTCCCAATTCAGTTGACTTTTCGAAGTTAGCATAGAGATGGAGTAACGTACCACAATTAATGCGTAGATAGCCATACACTTTGACTTGAAATCCTACGTTATCGAGAAGGTCGCATCGATCCTTCTCACAATCGTGCAGATGCAGACCTACTAGAGCCTCCGATCTCCCACTGGCTGATACACTGAACACGGTGCCCTCACTTCACAATTACGTACATTGACTCCCTATGATTCTGCGCATCTTATCCCAACAGACTTACAGTCGAAAATACGACGCGTGTATTACGTCCGATTGAGCACAGTGGCTCTATCCTTACCACGCAGGTGAGCCCGCCTGAGTCAACGCAACGAAACATAAGAGCATGGTTGATCGTAGCATTCTTTGCTTTTGCGCATTTCTATCACAAGGCATAATTTCAAACACGTACATACAAACAGACAGCCTACGAAAACGCGTTTAATCGCGTGAGTACAGGGGACGAAAAGGAGTTTGAAATGCTCTACACATGTTGACATAAGCGAGTGATGGTACTGAAATTGATGGGGTGGGTACGTACAGGAAAAAGACCAACGTCACGTGGGAAAGGAAGCGTACGCAATGATGGTCGTCCTTGATCGATGGGCGGTCTGCTGAGTTACAAGATCGCACAATATAGAAGGGAGCGGCAGAAACTTAGATGCCACAGACACAAGCATGGCGGTGGAAGGACCACAGGAATTAAAATGGCTCAGCGGCAGAAATACAATTCGGCATATGTAGCGAGAACGGCGTGTGATACACGATTCGTGTCCTAGAGATAGTGCTCACTGTATAGGAATGGTGCCCGGTTAGGTCAACCGTAAACTGTGATGCACAACAACATAGCCATATTTCGGGCGGATCGATACTAGGACGTACAGAGAGTTGCCCTCTTCAATTCAGAGCGAATCACCCGTAAATGTTTCCAAATCATGGAGGGTTGGGTTCGGGGAAATATTCACAAAAAACGGACAGTGAGATCCAAGGTAAGGGTCATTGAACAATCATGTTGGATGAGTTGGAAGTGTTGGGGGATTTCGGAACCGCTGTCATGGGTGGGCCTTTGACAAGACATTGTTCGGACGAATCGGATGAATTCTTGGCCGGTAGGTCGGTCGACTTAGTTGGGCGAGAAGTGTGCGAGTGAGTTCCAGACACGGGGACGGAGGGACGCCGGCCGTGTCGACGCAGTTCTGACACTGTCAGTAGCTTGCGTCGAGTTCGTCTAAAAGCAAGGAACAAACAGAGCGTTGACGTCTTGCACTATGAAACCGAAAAACGCTTACCTGATTCCGCACAGAAACCTAAAGAGACGTACTTCACAAACGGCTACCTTGAAGTAACCAATAGAAACGGTTCTTTCCAAAATCTAGCTACAGTGCTCCTCCACGTAAGGAAAACCCAGACAAGAAAAAAAAGCTACAATACTTCTTTTGTTAAAAATGGATTACGAAGGCGAAGCCCTCAAATAAAAAGCGTCTTATTAGTAGAAAAGAGCCTTGGGTGGTCTCGCGCTCCCGCAAAAATAGCCAAGCCATATCATTAAGCTTATCGTCAGTCAGGTGCGGAAATTCTCTGCGAGTTAGGTAAACTTGGTCATGCTTCGAAAAGTTGCCCCTCATAGTAGGGCTGGTCTATATGCAAGCCCGATGATAAGTCAACTGACACCGGGCTTGCGATGATAAACGTTTCAGAGATTGACGTGACAGATCTATAGGCATGGACATCACCAGTTTCCTGTGCACTCGGCGGTCACATGCACGATGAAGGGTAACAATTCTACGTGTTTTAAAAGATATACGAAAGGATGAGGATATTATGGGGGAATAATTTCCTATGGTCGGTTGAAACCTTGGAACAGCGCGGTGCGGCATGACTTCAGTTGCTTCACTGCTTGTCGAACGCAACAGCGAATTAGCAGCCATTTGGCGTAGCAGTAATCCGGAACATGACGTTAAAGAGGCGAGAGCTTCGACAATCACCCGCATTTCCAGCCAACAAAAGCCCCAAAATATGAGCTTCTCCCACGAAAATCACAAGTTTAGTCTACCAGTGATGGGATGATCACTCAGATGAATTTCATGAGGTTTACGTGTTATGAGAGTAAATATCCTTAGTTAAGTACTTTATTTGATAGCTTATTTGAGTGGATATCTGTCCTATTCGTACAGCTCATCTGTATAAACTCTGTTGCTCACGGACACAGTTGAAACTCTGACATATATATCGCAGTGAAATGTGAAATCTTGCTGGTACGAGTAGCTGAGAGGAGATTGCGAAAGTGCGTTAAAATTCACTCCGAGTAAGATAAACTTCCCTACAAGAAATGATTTTGTGGTACTCGGAGCGCACCTGGGAGACTGCTGTGGTAGCGGGTCGTCAACCAGTGAAGAGGGTAGTGATGGCATAAGTCGGGTAACAACGAAGTCGGCTGTGGGTTTTTGGGAAATGAAACCTAACCATCATCCGAGGTTATCGGACAAAGTTGCCGCCGCAGTCAGTTGCCCTGCGATGGTTCGGCGGCTATGGAGAGATGCATTTGTCCTTCAGGATGTACATAAACCCATGTGAGATGCAGGGATTAGTTTAGATGAAAGTCACTAGCCGAATTAACTTTGCACCATAGAAAATCTGGGATATTACGAGGAATCACGAAACCATATTACCTCGGCTTCATACAGTAGTACCATGCCCTGCAGTTGAGAAATAAACCTGTATGTACTTTGATGAGTCGGACACGACAGCTTTACTGACAGCCGTACACAAATGAGGATACTGGTTGGATTAAAAAATAGTGCATTCAACCGCGTATGCACAAATTGTCAACAGATAATGCTGAGTAGGGCCTGTTAGGATCCAATGACGGACCACAGTCACGCGCAATACAAGCTGCTTTGGAGTGTATTGGAATCATAAGCCAGCTGAAACACCTATTCACCAAACAAAGCGTAAAAGTGTATCCGCTCTAGGGTTAGGCGTAGCCCAACTAACTCCATCGTACGCTGTCTCCGCTTGTGCGGTCATGAAATTTGAAAACTGAGTGAGTCACTACTGAATTGTCTAGTGTGAAGTAGGCGAAAAAACAGACAGAGAGGGAATGGTGAACGATACGAAACAAATACCGGATGATACACTTGTGTTGCTTAGCCTTAGAAGCTTACTTGGTGCGGTCCGTTGCGAGGAACATAAGGGTTGTGGCTCCGTTCTCATCTGGACCCATCCCGATCCGGCGCCGGGGACCAGTGGCCAACGGGCCGCGGATTTGCGGATCTGAGACAACACCTGCCTCCGAAGTGTGGTGGTTCGTAGTTCCCGCAGTATGCTGCGGCTTCTTAGCTGGACTAGGTTCTTCGGAGATAAGCGGAAAAAAACAAAGGAAAAGATATAGTGGACTACTAGAAGGAATGGTTCACATAAAACACTTCGAAGCACAACTTATCAGCAAAGACTGCAAATTTTTGGTAAGGAAACCTGTAGCCGATGAACGTTATCAACACCATCATGGGCTGTAAACTGTCCACCGGTTATGTGGTGATCGTAGCTGCCAGCAGTGCGAAAATAGAATTGGACGTTGAAGGCAGTAGCTGATAACGTTGACGCTGAACCCAGAATCGACAGGAAAACCTTGAAAGGGGAGATCGCAGGGAGATGCTATTTACTGAAACCGATAGCATGGATGCACACAATCCATTTGATGCGCGGCTGGGCAGTGACTATCGCCGCCTCTGATCAATAATATATTCTTTCTCGGGGTCCCAATACAGGGTGATGACAATGATCAGTGTAACTGAAATTGTTGGTAATATTTCATCGCCAAGTCACTGCTTGTTTCAAAACTGCGTATGGTTTTGTGAGGAGATTGGATCGAAGAAGCCGATCGACAGGAAAACTATGATGAAGCCTGATGACACAAATAGGTGTCCAGTATAAATTTTTTCCTCATAAGAGTACTGTATTTGAACCCTTCATGCGTGCAGGAGTATACAGCAAGCAGTCCAACAGGTCCAGTAGTGTAAGACAAGACTATTCTTTTTCCTCATCCACCTCCAACTTTGAGACCGATGTGTTGCTTGCAACTTCTCTACCTGCCTCTGAAATAACCGGGATCGAGATGCTTCCGGGGAGTTCGCATTCAGACGCTGAGTATGTGGTATCCTTGGTTCAGATCATTCGAAGATGCCGGTCATTTTAAATAAACTAAATCATTCTACTGCACGGTATGATAAGCGCTTCACACCTTCAGAGTGTAAACTGCTACTACAAGACTGGGTGGGATTGAACCCAAACCCCATTCTTGCTGACCAGTCAGTCGATATCCTAGGCGAATTTAATTACTTTGACTGTGGTATAAGTTCATGTGGGCTGGCTGGAGTCGACGTCTACGGTGCCGGCATGATGTCAGTTATTCTGTCAAGGGTGGAGCATACATCCCAACGGTGCGATCCATACCGCTTTAGTAATAAAAAATGTGCACCCCCCAACCGTCTCACGTTCGAAGGGTGTGCGAAAACTTGGCATTTGGCCATTGGTACCTCTAAAACATAGGTCTGGTCTATTAGGGACATCGGACTGGCAATGCCAAAGTACGTATACCAAACCCTGATGCAAAGTTGAATATGCGTTGCGATGGTATCGGGCCGCCTGTTGATCGATATCTGTAGGTGAACATCCCGTTCTGAGTTAGCTCAGAGCAATGCTACCTAGCCATGGTGGTTCCCCGACTTGCGAGGACCAGGAGGAAAACGAATTAAGAGACTTACTCGTATAATGGCGTGATTGGAATTAAATTGCGTGCCTCAGAAGCTCTCTATCGCTGGCTGATAGCCATATGAGCTAATTGGATGCACGACTGATTCACATTAAGTGGTCGCTGAGTTACACAGTATGAACTCTTATGCCGAAAGCTCGTACAGGCCAGCTCGTAACGGTCAGCTTATAACCGGAGAAATCGTCTTCCACTGTCTATGCAGTGAGCATCGACTCCGAAGCGACCAAGTTTCACAAGACTCAGAAGGCCGATTTGGGTATTTATATCATTCGCAAGGACGCTCGATGGACCCGTCCGGATTAACCTCGATAGAAAGCGTCCTTTTCAGCACCAGAACTGCATTCCACCGGAGTACAATCTGACATTGCAAACAAGCACCGGTTTCTCTATAGAGTGGCGTCGGTTGAACCGAACAGCCGAACGGCGCAAAGACGACCATTCACTGGAATCCAATTCATCAAGCGCGTTCAGCTCCCGGGCTGAGTACAACTTCCATATCATACATTCCACGATACATCCAGAGGGTGGAATGTAAAAAAGCTGAGCTCGTCTTGGGCGCTTTGAGTCTTGTATGCGTGTTTCGGAGAGATGATATATGTCAGCTTTAGGAGAGTACAAGGTCAAGGCAGTTGACAGAGTACAGATTTTAGTAATAACGATAATAAGAATAATAATGATGTCTCAGCTATAGCGCCCTCCCGGCGTTTAGGTGCCAGGCCTCCAGAAGAAAGCCTGAGGGATGGCATACTGCCAGGCGGCCCAGGCCCAGACAAGAGCAGTCGAGATGCGGAGGTTGGTTTTGAAAAATGCACAGGCGTTGGAGATAGTTAGATGGAATCTCGAGAATTCATTAGCGTTATTTCGTTTATATTGAAGGGCAGAAGGTCGGCTAAGACATACCAGTAAGGTGATTACTACTCAGACAGATGACGTGTGCCTGTAAGGCGAGGGATTGCAAAGAAAAACGGATGAATAAAGAACAAGGAGGACAACTGATACTTCCTTGTTACCTAGGCCGTGGGAGGGGGTATATTTGAGGTACTCAGCTTGAAGACAGTGGAGGGAGAAGGTTTTGTTTTGGAGGACGTGCAGCTAGCCTCTGAGTCAAAAGTTTGACACAAAAGGCAGCAGGTGGTTGGGCTTACTCAAGGGATCCTGTCCGGTGGCAATGACTCGATAGCCTCACTTCCTTGGTTGCAGGAGTGCCACACAGAGTAAAACATTCAGTCTCACTTCTGATGCTATTGTATATAGCAGATTCGTTTGGAGCCGCACAGAGTTCTTGATGGGTTTCAATTGTATTTCTCCCGCATCGAATAGTTCGCTCGGGTGGCGAGCTGGCTCAGTAGTTGGAGCGCGAATTTACTGACCAGAAGGTCCGTGGTTAGAACCCGACCTCTGTCTCTCGACTTGCCCTGTCTAGGCTTGAGCAACCTGGCAGTATACCAGCCTTCGTGCTTCCTTTCGGTGGCATGGAGCTAGGCACCCAAAGGGTGTTATTAGTTCGCCCACAGTCATGGTTAACCGTTGGATCGGAGTGTGCAGTCTTTAGGGTAGACCTTTTTAAACCTATCCTTCCTCAGAAAAACGCACCATCACTAACTCCGGAAATACGGAATGTATGGGAAACCTTGTACCAACAACCAACTTATATTTTGGGTTGACAGCTGGTAAAAGACATACAATACTGATTTCCTACTTGAGAAAAGCGAGGGGCGTGAAAAGTGCAATGTCACTAGCCGAAGTATATCATTGCTAAGATAAGAAAAACATGCCACTTGATAACGTTCAGAACAATGACAAACGCCCGCATGACACTGGAGGAAGAAGACGGGCTGAAATAGATCAAGAGACCTGGGAAGAAGTTTCATTTGCCGCAAATATTGGGGTTCATCAAGATGGCCGTTAGTGGCTCTAAACAACGGTGGATGGAGTCAATCCCGACGAGGCATGAAAGATGGGGATAACCCCTAGCTGTGGCGTGTTTTCGGCACATACCTGTGATAAAACCTAAGAGAAACACGATAACTGAAGTACACCCAGTCATATGGTGATGCTTAGGTGGGATGGAATCGTTCAGCTTTGAAACTGGAGCCTTGAGAGCAGCGCTATCCTGAGCAGCCACTGAGCGATTCAGAAGAGTATCAGAATAGTACCAAGGAACAGCATGGTTGATAGAATAAGAGACAGTATTTTTTCACAATAAGGCTTTCAAATAAATAATGGTTGTACGGCAGGGAAGTATTGGTGCTGAACATTGATGTTATGCTGTCGATGACGAGATTGCAGACGTAGTGAGTTTCCACCGAGGGCACTGTGTCAAAGTTTTCGATGATGGAGTTCCAGATAGGGCTGAACAAATGGCATTTTTTTATCTTGATTACTTCCCAATCGTACTGGAAGTTTCAGGGTCCTACAACTTTGTCACCATCTTAAGGGCTTGGTGCCCTGCCGTGAAATATGCCCAGTGTCCACATACCAACGGGAGAAATTGCATCACGCTCAAATGAGCGATATGGGTCAAAGGTAATTGGCGGGTAGTCAAGGGGAAGTGCGCTGGAAAAATATATGTACTGCCTAGATATTGATCCACTGGTCGTCAAACACACATGGTTGAGTATCATCGACCAACACACGTGAGAGGAGGCTAGGTGGCGGATGGCATCCACTTTAACATGAGTAACCCAGGAAATCGATAGTGTGTTGTGTCACATGACACCAATCGACTGTAATCAGCAGATATCTCACCAGGTTTTTCGGTACAAGGATATAGCCAAAGCCGAGGAAGACAAACCAGAACGATCAAGTGCATCAACTTGCAATCAATTGTGCAAGAACCGATGCATTCTGTCGGGCTTCGATAACGTTTAGGACGGGAAACAGTGCATAAGAAATGTGGACGAAATCGGACTGGGTGTCTAGTCAGTCTCCAACAAGTGGGCAAAATGTCGCAAGGGAAGTAGAAGGCTAGGTGTAACGCTGAACAAGAGAACGCTAAGTATAAATAACCCATCACAGCCAATACGCCTCCTACATGGAAAGGGAGCAGGAGGAGCAGAAAGATGAAGCCTCATAATGCTAATCATATCGATCACGGTGTAAAGTTATGCACTTTCATAAACAAAAATCGATGATAATGTTGTTTAAATCAGCTGATCATTCCGGTTTGTGTCTGTTGATTCTGGGGTAGCAGGAAAGAAGAACGAGTTTTCGGTTTTGTCCGCTGAGTGCCACTAAATCCACTGACGTTAGTGTTTATGGCTTCGGGTTCAAAATCAACAAAATTATTTGATGTAAGTGACACATCTCTCTTCATCTGTTCCACTTAGAATGTAAACATGACTCGACGTGAAGTCAAGCTGCCGTAAGGAGTGCCCAATCCTGGTGTGCATAACTCCACCAAATCTATAGGATGCTGATTGGGAGTCCAGCCCCTTAGGTTGTTCCTACCAACTCAGCGAAAGGCAGACAAATGAAGTTCACATCAGATTGCATTTCGGACTAAAACTACCAAGCACCTAGAAGCGGTTGTTTGAGATGCAAGTAATCAGCTGGACAGGCGAATGACACAATTCGGGCA